CGCCTCTCCCCCTCTCAACCGCCGCATCTAGACCAATCCCCCCCTCATCCACCTGGGCCTGATTCTGCTCCAGTGCCTGGTCACCGAGATCGACCAGGCCTCGGGCATTTGGGTGCACTCGTCGCAGCACCGGAAGCTGGCGTCCATCTTCCGTGACAACCAACTGCTCCACATCTTCGAGCACTCGCTCAAGCTGCTGATGTCCTTCCTGAAGATGAAGCCCGACGAGCTGGGTATGTTTGTGACGAGCTCCCCCCCCCCCTCTCGCCTCCCCTCACCCCGGGTTTCCTCCTTTCCCCGCGACCGTCCCCCATTCGCCTGGTCCCGCCCCGCCTGACACGCCCTTTCCCGATGCCCCCGCCCCTTCCTCCCCTTGTTTGCGGTTCCCCGGCGCCCCTTTGCAGGCATGGACGGTCCGCGCGTCATTGAGAGTCTCTTCGTGCTGATCCGGTCATGCTTGTCCTTCGACTTCGTTGGCGCCTCGTCCCAAGAGGAGGGCTCCGAAGATGCGGCCACCATCCAGGTGCCGGACAGCTGGCGCGCCGCTCTGAAGTCCCCGCCGGATGAGCCCGGCCCCGCCGAGGCCCTCTTCAAGTCGGTCACCTACTTTGGCCAGGACCTGGCGGCGCTGGTACGCCCGCACATACACACACACGCGCGCGCGCGCGCGTGCCCCCCCCCTCCCTTTCATCAGGTCTCCGTCGAGCCGCTAACCGATCCCGCCTCCTCTTGCCCCCCCCCTCCCCTCCCCGACGCCCCGACGCCCCGACGCCCCTCCCCTGGGCACAGCCCATGGAGTGCCTGGTCCTGGTGTGCTCCTTCCGGCGGTCTTTCTTCCCGGCCGCGGCCGACCGGCTAAACTTCCTCAACAAGCTGGTCACCGGGTCGAACAACCTGCTGAAGGATGGGTCCTTCCTGTCGAAGGAGGATGCCTACCACGAGTTTTGCCGGTTCCTCTCGCGGCTGAAGTTCTACTACCAATTGTCGGAGGTGACCGCCACGACGGACTACTTCGACTGGATCAACTCGGTGTACAACTTCACCCTGCAGGCCCTGCAATCGTGGCACTGGTCGCCCAACAGCCTGCAGTATATCCTCTCCTTCTGGGACCGGATCTTCCAGTGGGCCTTCCTGCACCTGGACATGGCCATCTCGCAGCAGATCTCCAACTTCGCGGCCTCCATCTGCCGGACCTACATCAAGACCCGGCTGGCCAGTGTGACCATCAGCTCCGGCGGGCCCGGGCCCGGGGATGCCAATGGCCCGGGCACCGGCGCGACCGGCAGCCCCGGCGATGACAACCCCCTGGACGAGGAGGAGCTCCTGCTCGGGGAGCTGGACCTCCTGTCCTCGGCCCTGCGTTGCCATTACGAGACCACGGCGCTGGAAATCACCAAAATGATCGACCAGCTGACCATGAACTACCAGTCGATGCTGGCCATGGGCCAGACCGCCGACCGGGCCGTCACCGAGGCACACCTGGCCTGGCTGGTGTACATCGCCGGGCGGTGCATCGCCGGGCGCAGCATCTTCAAGCCCACCGACGAGCATGACCGCCTGGATGGCAGCCTGGTGTGCTCGGTGCTGCGTCTGAGTGGCGTCCATGATAATTGGATTTCCAGCCCGGCGGCCCCGCCTCCCGAGCGGCTGTCCTTGCAATTTGCCATCCATGCATTTGTCCTGCAATTCAAGAAGACCTACCTCTCGCCGCAGACGTCGCACACGGCCCCGGCCCCGGTGTTCGGCCCGCTGGCCCAGCACTTTGCCATTGCCAACATCGACGGGGCCCTGGATTACATTGTCAACATGCTGGTCCGGTGGCTGCTCATCTGGCCGAACCAGCCGCAGGTCATTGCCCGCACGGTGACCGAGCTCAACACCCTGACCTTGAGCTACTCCCTGGTCCGGGTGTTTTCCCGCCTGCCCGTGGCCTCCAAGCTGCTGCAGAACTTCTCGCCCAAGGAATTCCCCTTCATGCAGCACCAGGCCAATTGGAAGATGCGGGTGTGCTTCGTGCAGAGCCTCACCCGGCTGCTGCTGGCCGCCGGCGATTCCGAGGATGCCTTCGATGCCTTTGTCTCGTCGCTGGATGAGCGCTTGCGCCAGCTGATCCACGCCTCGGCCAGTGGGTCGCTGGTCGGCATGGAGATCGAGGCGGAGCTGATCTTCCGGGATCTGCGTGGCATTGTGACCGCCTGCCAGACCAAGCGCCACTACCAGATTTTCTTCAACTGGTTGTACGTGTCCTGCCAGGGGGGGGAGTATGCATGCCGCTGGCTGGGCGCCATCATCACACCGGGCACGTCCTTTGTTTTTTTGTTTGTTGTGTCCCTGCCTGACTCCTTCGCCCTCTCTCTCTCTCTCTCTCTCTCCCGCGTCTGTGTGCACACACACACACACACGCACACGCACACGCCCTGTCCTTCTCGCCGGCCTAGCTTTGAGTCCTACTTTTCCATCATCCCGGCCTGCCTGGCGGCCTTCTCCCCTCGGTCCTCGGTCTCGGTGGCCGGGCTGAAGTTCGTGGCGGATTTGGCCCACAACAAGAGCCAGCGTTTGGTTTTCGAGACCTCCTCGGCGGATGGGATCCGCCTCTTCCGCGGGGTGGCGGCCGCGGTGACGGCCTTCGGCGAGCGGCTGCTCAACTCCCTGCCCCCCGGTGCGTCTGGTGTTGGCGCCGGCGGGGCATTGCTCGATTCGGCCAATGCCCCGGGCTCCGGGTCCAAGCTGTCTTCGGCCACGTCCAGTCCCTTTGTGGAGGCTGGCGCCGCCGGCAACGGCACCGCGGCGGCCATCGCCGCCGGCGACTCGGCCCAGTTCAAGGCCATGCTGGCCTGCTTCAATGCCCTTTACCGGGCCCTGAGCGGGCTTTACGTCTGCTTCGGGGTCTTCGCCCTGTATGGGGATGCCTCGCTGAAGAATGCCCTGTCCATGTTTGTTCGCCTCTGCCTGTCGGTACCGCTGCGAGATATGATGGTGCGTTGGCGGGCCGAATCCCTGACTGGCCTTCGCCGCAGGGGCCGAGGCTCCTCTTCGACCTCCCCCCCTCCCCGCACACACACACACACACAGAGACACACGCCACCGGCTTTCGCCAACTCTCTAACCAACTCTCCGCTCCCCCACCAACAGAACCTGCCCAAGTTGACGATCGCCTATTGCGAGTTGACGCAGCATGTCCTCTCGACGGATCACCTTCTGGCCATGCCAGACATCCCCCTGCAGGCCTTCGTCTACATGCTGGCATCCTTCAGCGTCGGGTCCAAGTCTCTCGGTACGCATCACCTTGGCTGTGGCGGGGTTTGCCCGTGTCTGTGTGGCCGTGCCCGTGCCCGTGCTTCCGCCCATGTGCATGGCCGTGCCCGTGCCCGTGCCTGTAACTGCATTTCTCCGGCCCTGTAGGCGTATGTGTGCGGCCCTCGCCCCTGGGATTGCGTCCCACCCCCCCCCCCCTCCCCACCGCCCCTTGCACAGGCTCCAAGCCCTCGACTCTGTCGTGTGCAAACCTCGACAGCATCAGCCGCTTCATCTGGGACGAGCTCTACTCGCCGCTGGTCATCCGCCGCCGAGTGAAGCAGCTGGCCGCGCAGAAGCAGCTCCCCGCCTCCTCGCCCAGCACCATGCTCAGCCTCCGGTCGCAGCTGGCCATGCCGGTCGCCGGCGCCGATCTAACCTCCCTCCCGCCGGACCCGACGCTTCATCCATTCATCCGGTGCGCCCCCTTGGCCGGCTTTCGCCTGCGGCTAGTTCCCTTCTCTTCCTCCTCCTCCTCCTCTTCTTCTTCTTCTTTCTTTTTCGCCTTCCCCCCTCCGCCCTGTGCTTCCCCCCTCCCCCCTCTTTTCAGCTTGCCCCCATGGACCTGACACCCGATCATCATCTCTCTCCTCTTCCCCCCCCCCCCCCCCACCCCCCCACCCCCCCGCGCCCGCCGCCATTGCCGCCGACGCGGCTCTTCGTTTTGTCCCCGCTCCTCTCTCCTCCGGACAATCGGCAGCTTCCCCCCCCCCCTGTCCCCCTCCGTGCCATCCCCCGCCCGAAGCTTCTCCACCGAGCGTCCGGAACTCCTGCAGTACATCATCGTCCAGCTGCTGCAGACCCTCATCTTCCAGGACTCGCACATTTTCTGGTCCCTGTCGCGGCCACTCCTGCCGCTGGTCCTGCTGTACGAGAAGTTCTTCTCCGATCTGACGCAGGAGCTCATCGAGTACCAGACCCCGGCCCTGCAGCCGACCCTCAAGGAGGCCTTCGATTGCCTGATGAATGGCGTCGAGCGGTCGCTCAGCGTCAAGAACCGCGATCGCTTCGTCCACAACATCCTCCTCTTCCGCCGGCTCATCTCGGCCTCCTCTTCGCAGCTGGTTCCGAGCGAGCGCTTCCAGGCCATCCTCAACAATCCACCCTGGGCGGAGCTCCTCGGTTGAGGGGAAAGTTCGGCAGAGGCCCCGGTCCACGCCCACTCACCCCCCTTTCTTTTTACTGCCCCCCCCCTCTTTCCCTCTCTCTCTCTCTCTCTCTCTCTCTCTCTCTCCTCCCCCGCCCGGCGTTCTTCGACACGAGCCACTCCTTCGCCCGATGGGCGGCGGCGGCGGCGGCGGCGGGACGGGAGCAGCCCCACAGGCTGCCCTCTTACGTCTGCCCCGTTCCACTCCCCCCTCCCCCATGTCTCACGCCTTGCGCCTCCACCTACACATGTCCTTGTTGCCCACCCTCCCGACACTGGCCGCCCGCTTGACTGGCGGACAGGCGAGAGAGAATACACTTCCCCCCCCCCCTGTCCCCGCCTGCCTGCCTGCCTGCCTGGGGATACTTCCCCGTGTGCCGTGTTTGCCGTCTCGGGGCCCAAGTGCCAACGAATGCGTCGCCCGCTCCGCAGCCTGCCCAGACATAGCCCCCAACCGGCCGGCGAGCGCGTTCCCCGGGCGTGCATCCGGGAGGGAGAGAACACCGGGGGGGCTGCTCTGCGGGCCGCACTATATTTGGGCGGCGTCGTGGAGCCGAAGCGTCGGAGAGCACGGCGCATTCCCCTCCCCCCTCCCGCCTCCTCCTGGCTGTTCCCATCGGCCGGCCCCCGGCCCTGTCCCCTCGCCTCCTCTTACCTCATCGCGCATTGCCTCCTGTACACGCACACGCACACACACACACATACGCATATTCATCCCTCGAGCCAGCTGCCCCAGCTGCACCGCTCAACCATGATAGACCGGCGCCCGCACCAGCAGCCCTCCCTGCTGCCGGTGCCACTGCCCCGACGCCTGGCAGTCCACCCCACATGGGAATCGGCCCGCGGCGGGCGCCTGGCCGCCATCATGCGCTCCAACACCGAGGCCACAGACATCGAACTGCGCGAGATCTACCTGGATGCCGGCTTCCCAGGTGCCGAGGTCCCGCCCGAGCCCCGGTCGCAGACTGTCTGCTCATTCACGGTGCTCGGAGAAAACAACGTGCGTCAAGCCCGCCACTCCCCCCTCTGCCCCTTCGCCAGCCGGCCACCCCCGCAACCCATGCGATGGCGCCTGCCTGTCCCTTGCCTGTGTCCC